CCGAAAAACGAGCTAGTGACACCGTGGCGCTTGAAGCGCCCCCTAAAGTTCACCGAGTGCACGAGTGTCACGAATCATGGCCATGCGATGGCGTCGACTAACACGCGGGAAAGAAAATCATAAATGTCATACTGAACAATACCAAAGAAGAGTACGTTGCGTGTAGGGTTGCCATCCGTCCTCTTTTCCCCGGACACCGTCCTCTTTTTTTATGATGTCCGGGGACGTCCGGAGGGGTTTTCGAAAGGCGTCCTGGATAATCATGAGAGTCCGGGGTTTTATATAAAAAGGAAATATTTTTTGACTGGATGGTAAAAAAAACTTTGGCGTGTAAGTGTAGTTGACATTAAAGATTGGCAGCCCTGTATAGGACGCAGGTTGAGAATAAAATTTATCCGCATATAGTAATGCCAGCTGCACACCAGCGCGATGTTCGTCGCGACCTGTAAGATGTTATACTGTAAACATGATAATGATGAAAAAGCAAACATGATGAAAAAGCAATTAAATGCATGTACTTATAGCGTTTTCGGCCCAGCTGGGTTTGCACCAACCTGGGTTAGATTAATGGCGTTTTGTGCTCTCCTATTGGTAGAGCGTGTGACGTCATAGGAAAGATTAATCCAACCAATATTGGTGCTAACCTGATTGGACCGAAAACGCTATTAGGAACATAGGTCAAATATTTTTTGATAACTTATTATCAATTAAAGAGAAAACCCCCTGTTAATGAAAATATTATTTATCTAAAAATTTAAAAGGCTTAGATATGAAATAATTATTTCTAGAGCACCAAAAAAAGTAAGCAAATGTATGCGATCGGGGTAGCAAACGAAATGTCCGGGGTTTTCGGTTCGTCAGTTCTAGTTTTTAACTTTTTGAAATGGCAACCCTAGTCGCGTGGGAACAATGTTACGATGAATTTATAGAATCTCTGGAGGAGCAGAGCCGTATCAAACGCCCGCGATTAACGACTGGTAATAGACAATGATCTCATGTATCGCGCGGCTTGAAAGCTTGAAGGATTCGGTGCGTGGACGATTCGTGCACGTAGGCATAGGATATGGATTTCGATGGCGCGAAATTAAAACGGCGTTCGAAAGCCGTATTCTAACGAGTGCGGTAATAAACTCCAATTATATCGAACCTCGCCGATTCCTCGAAGACGCGAGTGAAATTGTGCTCGAGCATGTGCAGTGTATTATGCAGAGATATGACTCTGCAAAAATAAACACAGTTTTTAATGGTAAGTTCCTGGCGACAAACGCGCGAACAAGAACATTGCCACCCGGAACTTTGAAGTCTTTCGATGTACCGATTTGCACGAGTGGTATGTGACGCGCGACGTCGAACCTATCTTAGCATCGCTCGAAGAATTTCAAGAACGCGATAGCGGATGGGCACTGTCGCGTATACTAAATTTAGCAGTGAACGTGAATATACTAAATCCTCTGCACGCGGGATGTCACATCAAACTCCCGCGAGAAATTATGCTAATGAGAGCGGTGATCAACGTGCAATTTACAGACAGTGCGTGTTTCGCGTGATCGATGGTCGCCGCTCTGCATCCAGCTCAAGGAAATGAGAATCGAACATCATCATATCCGCACTACTCATCGGTACTGAATCTCGCGGGCATTGAATTTCCGATGATATTGAGCCAGGTTAAGAAATTTGAAGCTCTAAACGACATTTCCAACGTCTACGCCATCGAGAAGGTGATTGTGTCGATACGACTCGCCGACCAAAAAAGGAGCAAGCACGTAAACTTGCTGTACGTGGAGGATAACAACGTGGGACACTTTGCGCTTAATAAAAATCTATCCCGCCTTGTCAGTTCTCAACTAAGCAGAAAAAAGAACAGGAAATATTTCTGCAATAGGTATGTAATAATAATAACAACAACAACAACAACAATAATGACAATAACAATAATAATAATAATAATTGTTTCCAGATGCCTACACTACTTCAGCTTGAGCGCAAAATTGGAGATGCACAGCGAGGATTGTGAAAAAATCAGGATTGGTAAAGACTAATGTTTTTTTTAAGAATAAAACATATTATGTTTCTTCTTGAATATGTTTTTAATGCTTCAAATATGTTTTGAACAGTACTATAAAAAAAACATATTTAAAACATACTAAAAACATCAATTAAACATGTTTTAAACTGTTTAAAACACGTTTAAAACGTTTTTTTTACCAACCCTGGAAAAAATAAATGAATGTGCAATCAGACTACCGAGCGAGGACGACAAGTGGTTGAGCTTCCGCAACCACTACCGGAAAGAGCACGTCCCGTTCATAGTCTACGCCGATCTTAGGTGTGCATTGGAAAAGGTGGATAGGAACCCTGAATCTGCTACGCACACGTATCAACACCACAACGTCATCAGTATCGGGTATTACGTGTACTGCTCCTACGACAGCTCGCAATCAAGCTGTGGATTTCGCCGTGATAAGGACTGCATAGCGTGGTTCGCGGAAGAATTGAAAAATTTGGCTCATAGTGTACAGTCTATAATTTCAGCCAATGTTCTCATGGCAGATTTTAAGCGCGACGACTGGAAAAAATTTTACAGCGCTTCGCATCGTCACGTGTGCGAGAAACCGTTCTCGAAAGATAATACGCGGGTGCGCAATCACTGCCACTTAACCGGGCGATACAGACACTCCGCGCACTCAAATTGCAATCTAAATTATAAGGATTCGAATTGCATACCCGTAGTTTTCAACAACTAATCAGGCTACGACGCTTATTTCATAATCAAAGAAATTGTCACCGCGTACGAAGGACGCGTAGATCTGCTTCCAATAACGAAAGAAAAATATATCTCATTCACCAAACACGTCGATAGTACCAAAATTGATAAAAAAAATTGCATGCAATTACGATTTATAGATTCATACAGATTTCTCGCTTCTAGTTTGGACAAATTGGCATTTTTTCTCAACAATGATAAGCTGCAGGTACTGCGACGCAAATTTTCTAATTTATCGGAAGAAAATTTTAATCATTTGACTCGAAAGGGCGTTTTTCCGTACCAGTACATTGACTGCAGTGAAAAATTGAACGAATTGCGCTTGCCGCCTCGCGAGTCATTCTACAGCTCATTGACTGGCAGCACGGTATCTGAGAGTGATTACGCGCATGACGTCAACGTGTGGCAGCGGTTCTCCATTCAAACGCTCGGTGAATATAGCGATCTTTATCTAAAAACAGACATATTGTTGTTGGCTGATATCTTTGAAAATTTTCGCGACAGCTGCATCGAGAGTTACGAGCTCGACCCCGTGTACTATTACACCTTATCTGCCTTCACATGGGATATCATGTTAAAGCACATAGGTGTAAAATTTGAATTGCTGACTGACATCGACATGGTCGTGTTTGTCGAGCGCGGTATACGCGGCGGTCAGAGCCTGTGTTCAAGCAGGTACGCGCGAGCTTACAATGAATACATGCTGTCGTATGATCCATCGAAACCATCATCGTACTTGATGTACTACGACGTACAACCTCTACGGCTAGGGAATGTGTCGACCATTGCCCTACGCCGATTTTCGATGGGTCGACCACGTGCACAATTTCGATCTGATGACCATTGCGTTAGATTCATCGACAGGCTATATTCTTGAGGTGGAGTACCCGCAACATCTTCATGACGAGCATACTGACCTACGTTCTGTCTAACGCACGAGAAACTACCCGGCAAGCGCGATGACAAGCTCCTCGCAACATTATGCAATATACAACGTTACGTCATACATTATCGCAACCTGCAGCAGTGTACTCGTCACGGCCTTCATATCGCAAAGATTCACCGTATACTGCAATTCGCGCAATCTCCATGGCTTCGCGATTATATAGAACTAAACACAGAATTTAGAACTTTGTCCACGAACAATTTTGAAAAAAATTTAAACAAACTTATGAATAACGCAGTATTTGGCAAATCCATGGAGAACGTGAACGATCGCGTCGATGTGCGTCTCATCAATCGGAAGGCAGATACGGTGCGGAGGCAATGATCGCCAATCCAAATTTCCATAGTCGAAGCGTCTTTTCGGAGAATCTGGTCGCGATAGAACTGCGTAAGCTTCGAGATGACGTTCGACAAACCGATATACATGGGCACGTGCATTCTTGATATATCGAAAACGTGTTTGTACGAATTTCACCACGAGTACAGGCACCGGTG